CATCTTGTAAAAAAAAGTTTTTTTTGTAACAAATCTAGAATGAATATTTAATAAATTATAAAGTATAAAATAAGAACACACAAATATCTATATTGGCACCCATTTATTTTTTAACAGAAAAATAAAAACAGACAAATATCTGTATTGGTACCCATCTATTATTTGACTAAATAAGTTTTTAAAAAACACAGAGATTGTCACAATTCACACAAATTTTTTTTTTATCATCATGTGATTGAAATGGAGTGTTCAAAAACTCAATCACAAACTAAGTCAATTGATAATTAAAAAATACAAGAATTTTTTTGTTCCAAAAAAAAAAAAAAACAGTTAATTAAAGACCCAATTTACAATTTTTTGCAAGACAACATATAATCTAATCCCCAAAAAATATAGAGATTGTCACAACCCAACCAAAGCAACGAAGTCAATTAAAAAATGCAATTTTTTTTTTTGGGCAAAAAACATATTGAGTTAAAAACCTAATCACAAATTAAGTTAATTGATAGTTAAAAAGTTCAACCATTTAAAAAAAAAATATATAGTGAGTTAAAATACCCAATTACAAAATATAATCTAATCATCATCATCAATAGTGAGTACTTTACGTGAACCTAATGAATACAATCCAATTTCTTTTCTTCAAAAAAGATAGATTAAAAATACAATCACCTTATTAAAAATTAAATTAAGTCCAATCACAATCACAAAATACAATCTAATCATTATTAATAGTGAATATTTTATGTCAACCTAATGAATACAATCTATTTTTGTTTTCGAAAAACATACATTAAAAATACAATTACCATGTGATTGTATTCAAAAAACATGAATACAATATTTTTTTTCTTCAAAAAACACAAATTAAATGGAATGTAAAAAAATACAAGCATTTAAAAAATAAAATGACCCTATGATGAAAACGGAGTGTAAAAAGACACAATCACATTTTTGCTCATAAAAAAAAAAAAAGCAATCAAATCAATTGGTAATTAAAAAATACAATTATTTTTTTTTTCAAAAAACATAGTGACTTAAAAACCCAATCACAAGGCCTTGTTTGGGATAATCTACAAAAGTTAAAATGTCAAAAAATTATTAAAAAAACTAAAAAGTCCATACTATTCAAAAGTAGTTTGTGGAGGAAGCCACTAGAGCAAAATTATTATTTTACCATTTGAATTCAACTACCCAAAAAGTCAAAAAGTTAAAAGGGTAAAATTGTCATTTTGATTTTACTACAATATTTTATTATACATCTTTTCGTAAAAAACCAAAAAATTATCCCAAACATACATATTTTTTTCTCTACTTTTTTAACCAAAATCTCAAAAGGTGTACTTGTATAGCACATCCCAAACAACTACTAAGTTAATTGATAGTTAAAAAGCATAAACATTTTTTTTTTCAAAAAATGTAGTGAGTTAAAAAACCCAATTACAAAATATAATCTATTCATCATCATCAATAATACGGACTTTATGTGAACCTAATGAATATAATCTAATTTTTTTTTTCAAAAAACATAGATTAAAGATAAAATATTGAAAAATAAATTAAGTCAAATCATAATCACAAAATACAATCCAATCATCATCAATAGTTGATACTTTATGTGAACTTAATGAATACGATCATTCTTAATCAATTTAAAAATATAAACACCATATTAAAAAATAAATGATTTACTTATAGACTTTGATATGTTTTTCTTCGAAGATTCTATCCTACTCTTTCTTCCAAACTACTGCGTAAGACTGTTGCCATTGCAAAAGGCTGCTGCTCTCTCCCAAACTTTTTCTTTAAGCTGTTGTGATAGGGTTTCTTTAGGCTGCTGTGATATAGGGATTAGGTTAATAGTAATAGGTAGCAGTGAGTTTCTTTGGGCAAGGGCGGGAATTTTTTTTTTTTAAATCAGAAAATTAAGAAATTCAGATTGGAATTAAAGCACAACTTCTTTTTTTTTTCTTTTTCAAAAAATATAGTGAGTTAAAAAACCCAGTTACAAAATACAATCTAATCATCATCTGTAGTGCGTATTTTATGTGAACCTAATAAATACAATCTAATTTTTTTCTTCAAAAAACATAGATTAAAAATACAATCACCGGGTGATTGTATTAAAAAAACATGAATACAATCTTTTTTTTTCCCAAAAAATACTGATTAAATGGAGTGTAAAAAAAATACAATCATTTAAAAAAATTAAATCACCGTGTGATTAAAATGTGTTAGGTTTTATTCTTGGCAATCCCGTTTGACAAAATTCTTTTCAATTATACTTGTATTCGCACTTTTTATTTCAGTGAGGTTATGAGTTTTAAGATGGGAATACAACCCAAATTGTGCCTTGTAGAGAAGTTTGTGGTGCTAATTCTTTCATGATTGCCACTTCGCTGACTATGACGAGGATCGAGCTGCCCGATCAGCTCGCGGGGGTCTAGGGGGGCAGCGCCTCTTGGCGGGTCTGGGGCAGCGCCACGGCGGGATTGAAGGGCAGCGCCCTCGAAGCAAAATGTAAAAATGTATTCAAAGTTGCCTGTCCACTCGAGCGGCCGTTTGTACGCTCGAGTAGAGAATGTTGGGTTCCAACAGTTTAACCTGTCTGCAAATATACTATGAGGCTTGTTTTTACGCTTGAGCGTTCATTACCCCGCTTGAGCATATATCCTGGTTTGGAACACGCGATATAGAGTCCCCGCTCGAACGTCCATTCCCACGCTTAAGCGGACCTCACGATCTCAGCTTCTATAAAACCTCAAGTTGTTCCAAATCTAGGGTTACGCTTCCAGATCTTCTTCTTGGATATTATGGTTTATATCTGGGGCTATTTTGCTAGTTTTCTTTGATATTTGATTGAGTATTCAACTCATGATTTAAGAGATACACATCAAAGGTTTGTTCGTTTATTCAATACAAAAGAGAGAGTTGTTTTTCAGTAGATTCTCGAGAATTTGAACCTGAAGCTTTGGTGGATTCTGGAGTGTTTCATCATCGTGATTCGATATCAGTGTTGTGGATACAACGTTGGGCAATACAATTCCGAGGTGAAGATCGTGGTGGAAGAGACATATAGGGTTCGGTTCAATTCGGGCGTGGATTTACTAGGTAATTAAGAGTGTACTTGTGTAATTCATTTTATCTTCTTAGTGGATTGTTTTGTGGTTTTGGCCCGTGGTTTTTTTTATCACAATTGGAGGTGCCCCAATTGTGAACTTTTCACGTTAAAATCGTTGTGTCTATTTCTCTTAATTGTTTGATTGAGATTGTTATCTATTGCTTTAAATTGATACATAATCACAAATCAATATCTAGGGGATTTCTAGATTTTTCAAAATGAAGTGTAAAAAAACACAATCACATTTTTCCTTATAAAAAAAAAATGACGTCAATTGGTAATTAAAAAATACAATCTAATCATCTTCAAAAAACATAATGAGTGAAAACCCAATTACAAATTAAGTTAATTGATAGTTACAAAGCACAATCATTTTTTGTAAAAAAAATACAGTGAGTTAAAGAACCCAATTACAAAATATATAATCTATTCATCATCATCAATAATACGTACTTTATGTGAACCTAATGAATACAATCTAATTTTTTTTTCCAGAAAACATAGATTAAAAATAAGATATTGAAAAATAAATTAAGTCCAATCACAATCAGAAAATACAATCCAATCATCATTAATAGTTGATACTTTATGTAAATTTAATGAATACAATCATTCTTAATCAATTTAAAAATATAAACACCATATTAAAAAATAAATAATTTACTTACAGACTTTGATATGTTTTTCTTCTAAGATTTTGTCTTACTCTCTTCAGACTTTGATACATAAGATTGCTGCTCTGTCCCAAACTTTTTCTTTGGGTTGCTATGATAGGCATCTACGTAAGGCTGGTGCTCTATCCCAAACTTTTTCTTTGGGCTACTGTGATAGGGTTTCTTTAGGTAGTTGTGATATAGGGTTTAGGTTAATAGTAATAGGTAGCAGCGGGTTTCTTCAGGCAAGGGCGGAAAAGTTTTTTTTAAAAAAAATCAAAAAATTAAGAAATTCAAATTAAAATATTGAAATTTCCACAAGACTTGTGGATTAAAAAGATTATCTTCCTTATATAAAATGTAGATATGTATTTCCAAATCTCAACCTTAGTGGGCGGTGGTGTCTGTTTGTCTGGCCACCGTCCCATCTGGTCTCAACATCAAATAATTCCACACTATTGTAATATTTAGAGTTAATTATATTAAGGCTTTGTTTTGGAATGATCTAAAAAAGTCAAAAAGTCACTATCTTATTTAAGTCACATCACCTCTCTAACACATCACTTCAAACCCAACCCATACCCAATCTATATTTCATAAAAAGTCAAAAAGTACACTTATTTAGATCATCTCAAACCACCCCTTAGATTCTTATCTTTTTATTTATAAATTTATATATATTTTGATCATTTTAAATAAGAAAAGTTATACAAATACACCTACTTTAGAGCCGATTTGGAGAGGTCTACAATGATGAAAGTGGCAAATTTTTATAATGAAAAATGCTTGGGAGCACTAATTAGTGCTCCCACTAATTAGGTGGCAGTGGGTCCCGTCATTAATGATGTGATGTTTTGGTCTTGGAGTTGTATTTTTTTTTATTTTTTTTTACTTTTTTAATGCATTAGTGCTATTAGTGGTGATATTTTTAGTGGGATGAATCATTGTTGTTTTATAATTCATGAGTTTAAATATATAAATTTATAATTAAAAAAAGTAATATTTATTAATAATGGAAGGTGGGGTTTGGAAGTAAATAACTCATAATAATGGAAGCGGGGTTTGGAAGTAAATAACTCTAATATTTATAAGCACAACAAATGATTTCATCTTCCTCTTAAAAAAAAAAAAAAAAAAATTTCATCGACAAGTAGCAGGACCCATCAGCATATCGACACGTGTCCCAAATAATATAAACGGATGCAAACCTATTTATATTCCCCTCTTTATTCCCATTTCTTGTCCGCGCCATCCCCCCTCTCTTCTCTCTCCCCTTCTCGAGCTCTCTCTCTCTCACTTCAGAATCTCCACCACCACGGCCAAACCCTAGACCCCCACTCTCTCCCTGAAACTCATCTCCATCGCCAATCTCTCCAAGATCTATCAATCCTTGCTCGATTGGTGTTGTTTGAACTATTAATTTGTTATCGATCAGGATTAGAGACAGAGCTTCGGCGAATCGGGAATGACGAGTTCCACGACGAGCACTGTCTACGTCAACGTGATTGAAGATGTCATCAACAAGGTCAGAGAGGAGTTCGGCAACAACGGCGGTCCTGGCGACAGTGTTCTCAACGAGCTTCAAGGAGTAATTTTTTTTTTTTATTATTTAAATTTTCTCGATCTTCTGCACAATTGTTTCGTAGTTTTCTCGTTTTATTCTTTTTTTTTTTAGAGTTCATTTTCACTTGGAGTGTTAATAGTATCCAGGTTGGTATTTTTAGAGGATTAATTTGATAGTTTTGATCTGATGAGTTTTAGGGTTTTCTATTTATTTATTATTATTTTTTTGTTTTTGATTTATGGATCTGCAATTTCGAATTTAATCTGACCTCATTGTTGATTTTTGTGGGAATTAATAGATATGGGAATTGAAAATGATGCAAGCTGGTGCTATATTGGGTCCTATAGACAGGTCCTCAGCATCGAAGTCAACACCAGGAGGCCCTATCACTCCTGTTCATGATCTTAACGTGCCATATGAAGGGACTGAGGAGTATGAAACTCCCACAGCTGAGATACTCTTTCCTCCGGTGAGTTTGACTTCACTTATGTAGTCTCTATCATGGTCATTGTAGTTATATGCAAATATATGATTCCATGGTTATGTTTTTGATATGGGGTTTTGTATGCAGACTCCATTACAAACTCCAATGCAAACGCCTCTACCAGGAACTGCCCAAACACCTTTACCGGGAACTGCACAAACGCCTTTACCTGGAACTGCCCAAACGCCTCTACCAGGAACTTCAGATAGCTCAATGTATAACATACCTACTGGTGGCACTCCCATCACCCCTAATGACTATCCTGCTATAAATGAAAATGGTGGTGTCGCTGAGCTGAAAGCAGCTGGGAGACCTAACCCATACATGGTAGATGCCATAGCATTTGTTGACAAATGTTTATTGTGCAATTTTGGATTCACCTTTTTTTATTTTATTTTTTTGTTTTATAACTTTGTTGAGATATCCGTATTATGTTTTTGTTCTCTAGAATGGAATTCACCTATGAATGATACTCTTTCCTTTTGATTTGTGGCTTAAGTTTGGTGGATGAGTTTTAATTTTGGGCTAAATTGTTGGAGTGAATTATACTTTCGTGAATTGTGCAGCCACCTCCCTCTGCTTGGATGAATCAAAGGCCCCCTCTAAGTGTTGATGTTAATGTTGGTAGGTATTTTGGTATAAGGTGCACCATCTACTCCGAGTCTCCAACATTTGTGTATTAATTATGTTCAACTTGTTCTAGCTTATGTGGAAGGGCGGGAAGAGCTGGACAGGGGAGCATCTCAACAACCCGCCATGACACAGGTGATTATAATCTGTAGTTGGCATGATTAAGGAGCCTGGGGTGCCTGAGTTTGCATCAAAACTCAGGAATCACCCCCATCCCAGCCCATAATGAAATAGGAAGAAAAAAGTGCCGTTTTTGCAATAGCACACTTATACAATTAACATGATCAACAAAATTAATAGCGCTCGACTCATCAAAGCCTGAGAGGAAGAAAGGGGCAATGTGAATGTTACAAAAAACAAACCCTTAAAAAATGAGTAAAATTACTAGTTGTGAAAATTGAGGGTGGGTGAATTATAGATAGATGATAAGAGAGCAGATTACCTCAAAAATATTATTATTATTATTATTTTTGAAGTGGTATAAATAAGATGCCAAAGGGACATAACGTTTGAACAAAAACTATAAAAGATCAAAAAATCCCAACGTGAAGATTGAGCTCACCGATAAAACCTACAAGAGTAAAGGAGGATTCACACAAAAAATCCTTTATACCAAAAACAATGTAATAGACACAACTTAAGCTTTCAAATTCTCAAGTACGTCTCTTAAAAACTGAGGAAGTCACATTTCAATGCTTCCTTCCACCTTATCCTGTAGATGCAGTCCAAAATAAGAACAAGGAAAGCCAAAATTAAGCAGGCATTTAAGTTTAGAAATTCATTAGTTTCAAGACAAACACAATTGGAACCACCTATAGTTGTGCTTATAGTCTTAGTGAGTCTTATCTTATTTATGTTTATTTTAGGTTAAAAGTTGCTAGTCAGTTTTAAGTTTAGGGGTGTTTAGGTAATTTGCAAATTTATGGATATGAGTTGTGTGGTTCGCTCATAGGTTGCCTGGTGGGTTAAGTTGCTTAATTGGTTTTTATTTATGTGTCTCAGATGGTCTTAGATAGGTTTTAGAAGTCAAAATTTGAGTAGTTTATTTTTTTGGAATCCTAGTCTTAGTTGAAAAAAGATGTCCCTAAAGTTTGTGTAAAATCATGTAATGTTTCTAATTTAACAAAGTTGATATTTTAGAGAATTTTCATATTTTTGAAGCTTTCTTTATGGATTGCCTAAGGGATTATAGTAGTAATTTTTAGTTTTCTTCCTCTTTTTCTTTATTTTATTTTTTTTGCAAAATCTGCTAAAGTAACTGTTCACGGGTACCCCTCCTGGCACCCATAACAGTCTCTAAACAGTGCCAAAAATCATATCATTTCATGTTTAATCCCTTACCCCTTTATTACCCTACAAACCCTTTATCCTTATATGTTTCACTCACACTGCAACCATTAAACCTTATTAAATCAGCTCCAAATGCCCACTTTCGCTGCTACCCTACTCATCCAGCATCACCTGTCCACCCCATTTGAGGGGACCTTCTAAATACACCCATAAATATCTCTCTACATCCACTTTTACAAGAGTTTCTCTTTGAGGTATGATGTAGAGAAAAAGTTAAGGTGTGTATTTAGAATCACCCTCATTTGAAGGTGCAACAATCCCATAAAGAAGTTCAAAGATCTCATCCAAGGCCCTCATTTTCCAATCTTTCATAGCTCTAATGAAAAGAGGGTCCGCATTATTCTCGAGGTATAGACCCTCAAGTAGTCTGCTACCAAAGCATCCTTGTTAACAATAATACCATAAACTAGATTTGGGAATGCCATTGGTAGAGTGATATCTCTACGCCAAACATCATGCCCAAACCAATTCTAGCGGCAACCCCATAGCTCAAATCACAAATGTTTTGCAAAATTCAACCATCCCTTCCTTTTAACTTTTTACAATCCCATCCCATATGGCTTTGTTTCTACCTTGGAAGTCCTCTCCTCAATCTACTCCAAACTTATCGATAATAACCATTTCCATAAATTGTTCTCTTCTCGAATATATCTTAACCATTTCCTCATCAAAGCTTGATTAAATTGGCTAAGCATCGAAAGCCTAGACCACTGTCTTCCATATGAGTGCACACCTTCTTCCAGTGCACAAGATAATATTTGAATTCCTCCCCTAAACCTTCCCACAAGAAATTTTTATGTACCTTCTCCAATCACTTCTCCACCAAAGTAGGCATAGAAAAAAGAGACAAATTTTCTGTAACATTACCTCAAAATATATTCTTTCTATTGGCTGCATAATCCCAAGAAAGTATTGCACAACATTTCATAAAGAGTTTTCCCTTGATGTTGGAAGCATGCACAAATGATATAGTTGGAAGTTGATATTTGTGTACCAGAGTAAAAATGCTCAAATGTAAACTGGAATGGTTGAGATGAGTTGCAATGAAGATGAAATAAGAAGAATAGAGGTTGAGGAATAGTAATTAAGGTTTTGTTACTATCAAGTAAACAAAAACTGGTACTTTTCAACTGAATTTTACTCCACTTTATAGTAACTATTTGTTGTTTTTTTTGTTCTTGATGAAGTAGGCACATTCCATTCCATGTTTTCTCTTTGTTTTAGAATTCCTGAATTTTGATAATACAAAAAAAATAGTAAAATGCACTGTGAGCAGTTTTCCTCTTTTGTTTTGTTTTATTTTATTTTGTTTTTTTCTTTTCTTTTCTTGTTGAAGCTGGAATTGATACCGAATGTGTATCATCATCTATTACTTATTTTCTCATCTTAACTGATTTTTTAGTGTTAACAATCTATTTCATTATCCATCTTAATGTTGGATAAAAATCTAGGACTTCTTCATGGTGCCTTCTGGAAAGCGGAAACGTGAGGATTTTGCTTCACAATATCATGGCAGTGGATACATGCCACAGCAGGATGGAGCTGGAGATTCCATGTCAGATGATTTTCAGGTTGAGCTTCTTTTTTACTTCCATGTTTATGTTTTGTTGATTTAAGTTCATTGTCTTGATGCCTGCATGAATGAATAGTATCATGCTTGAATATAGAAGAGAGAATTTCTTTCCAAGAGTTTGAGCACTATCTTTTCACTACTATGATTCTAATTCATGGTATTAGGACGCGTATCGGTATAGGTTGCGGTGTATTGGTATTGGGAGTTTTGAATGATGCATATTGGGAATTGGGTGTCGTGGTCATGAAATTCTAAAAATATTTAGCAGCCTCTTTAAAACTCAATGATATGCACTTTGTCACATTTTAATGAATATTTTGATATCTAGAATCACCGTAATATGCCATTAAATTTTACATGAAAGACTATTTTTTAACAGAATTTATCATTTCTTATTACCGAGCTCTCAAAGGGGAACTTGTGGATACTGCTGTACAAACATCAGATACTGGTTCTATGCTTGAGCTGCAGTTAGTGGATTTATTTGAATGATGATAGGTTTAGTTATGTGGCCCTGACTGTAAGAATAAGCATAACTCAAGCTTGCTATGCATAAGATAGCGTCCACTCTCAGTGGCCTTAATGGATGGGGGAAAAGCAGATTTGAATGTCAATTTTTTGGTCATTCTTTTGTTGCACCGAATTCCAAGCAATATGAGGAAAATGGTCATCTTGAGGAAAAATAGACAGGGAATTCACCATTATCTGGTGACATCCTACCGGATTCTTGATTCCATTCTACAATGTGGAATTTGGAATAAATATATTTAGCGTTTTAGACTTTAATATCCAATGGGTTGCATATTGTTTTGTTTCGTGCATAAGTTGACTATTGTACTGGCATCACTCAAATTTTCGAGGTTTATCTTGATTTTGTATCATTTTTGTACATATAATGGGTTGCATATCTTTTGATCATTTCTCAGGTAAGTCAAAGGGGCAGCACTGAATGCCACAATGTCATTGCTGCGAACCGAGAGGTGTTCACACGAAGGGTGATGTTGTCTTCAAGGATTTCTCAATTGGATGGGCCAATTCCCGATCCTTATGATGATGTGCTTTCTACTCCTAATGTAAGCTGTTGCTTTTTGACATGTATGCATGAAATAAGATAATTTGCTGGGAAATTTTTGCATGTGTGTGTGTGTGTGCGCGTGTCATGCACTGGCATACGCTCCAAAATCCAAGTTCTGGCAGGCATTAGGTGCCGTGGGCATTTTGTTGATGTTATGCTTATTGCCTTTTCTAGTTCATATAACTGAGTTAATGTTGGTGGCCTCATGATGGAATGACCGTCAAGACTGCTATTACGCTGTTATTGATAACTTCTCCCTTCCCTTATACTGTTTCGTCTGCATGGTTAACCACATTATTAATGTCTGTTTAAATAGTATATTGATATAGTGCTTTGGGGGTGGCATTGAGTATCTGAAGGAAGACGCGATGCAATATATGCTCAATTGTATTTGAACAAAATTATTAAATCGGTTACTTGACCTATTTAAAGTGCCATGAATTTGAACCCTGCTGTCAGTTAGTTTGGTTTAGTGGATTAATCTTTGATATAACTACGGAATATATCTTGATATAAGAACGAAATCTCTATTACACCTATTTTGTTCACAGAATCGTAATGAGGAATTGTTGTACACTAATACTATGTTAGATGATTTGAGATCTAATATATGATCATTATATAAATGTTGAAAGGAGTAAGTGTGAGATAGTAAATGGCCTTTATGGAAGACAATTTTCTTCTAGACAGTAGGCATGAAACTACCCCATTCATGGGTAGCAGGAGTGGATTGTTCTATAATCTTTGGTTGGAGTGACTAGAACACATTCTTGAGAATGTACAGGTTGACTGGGTTGAACTTGTGGATTTGATTAGGGATTTATTTTTATTTATTTATTTTATAAAGGAAAATGAAGCATTTATGGAGGACTAGGGGCGTGAACCCCTATGAAGTCAGTTCAGCGAGTACTAGGTGCTTCTGTGACTGTGTTATGAAGAACCGTGAAAGACTTTTCATAGTTAGGAGTAATTATAGCAAAAATCATATAAATGTAATGTGCCTATTGTTTTGGCATGGAAGTGCACTAACATGGAGGTTTAAGGATGACGTGGCAAACACAATAATGACACCGGGGCAATTAGCGGAGCGATTGGGTGAGAAGTGAAGCACTCATAGTGAGAGAGAGAGAGAAGCTTAGCCTGTCTTCCCCATACATGAGATATATACCCTTAATTGTAGAAGATTATTAATCACTGACTGGGTAATCCCTTAGTGGGCAGTGGGATTGCAAGGAATCCCATAGTGGATAGTTGGGTAAGTCGGTTCTATGCACTATGAACTGTTGGAGAATCTTGGGAAAACCAGCAACTCATAAGAGGTGTTCACTTGAGTGCTGCGGTTTGTACGGAGTAGTGAAGTCTCTCTTTTTTCTTTTCTTTTGATCGGCAACAACAAAAGAAAATATTGTTATTAAGGAAAATAAAGATTACAAGAAACCGGTTCCAAAGAAGAAAAAAAACAAAACGAAAGTAACAACACCTCAAGCTACATATCACACTGCCCTTCAATCTCTAGAAATCAGGAAAAAAGGAATCTCTCTAAAAAGGGAAAAAACCGAGGCGCAAGTGGCAAATAACAAGCTCTATCCCATAAAGAATCAACGTCTTCCATCTTATCCTAAAAAATTCTTGTGTTTTGCTCCAACCAAATAACCCAAAAAATAGAGAAAAAGATGCAATGCCACGACACTTTTGCTTTATTACAGCCAAAAACCCAAAAATCCATCAAGAGGAAGTATGTGGGACCACCCAACAAATCTCCGCCAACATGAATAATCTATGCCACAAAGTCAAAGCCAAAGAGTAATGCAGATTTGATTTGCAACTTACCCCTGAGGGTGAAGTGCCAGAGTGTGTTCTTCATTTGTAGCCACTGAGCCATATTGACCCAGAATCTGTGGTGAGTGCATGAGCTGTTCGGTGTTGTGCCATCTACTTGTGAGTCGTGATGCCTAGGCCTTGATGTAAGACCCTTACGTGCTTTTTCTTCTTCCTTTTTTCCTTTACATTTTGGTGCAAAGTCAAGCAGTGACCTTAGCACTCTGTCTTGATATCATGAAATTGAAGGAAGTGGGACTTGTGACACTTTGCGTGTTAATGATAGGCTACACAAGTAGTAAGCCTTTAGTGTTCGAATGTTGTGAAGGAGTAATTTATGTTCTAGAAATGTTATTTATCACCGCATTTACTTCACCTTCTGTGTGTATTCATACAATAAATGCCATGCATATATGTGGGGCCCATCGTATATAAAAAAAATGGTAGGACCCATCATGCCACATGAGAAGTCACATAATGATATATTTAGGTGATGTATAGAAGCCCTCTTTATGTTCCTATTTCTTGTGATTCCAATTCTTGTCAATTAAAAACTTTGAGCGAGTATTACTGGGTTATTACATTTGACAGTTGGGGGCATAGAATATTCTAAATTTGCGTTCTGGCGAAGCCAGAGGGCAGTGAAAAGGTGCTTTAACATTTTCATTTGATGTAACATTTTCTTACGCTTTTATCTTTGGGCAACTCAAATCCTGTTTGATCCAGTGTGTTGCATTGCATAATGCTGTGCTGTGAATTATACTTTAGAATCTCATGAACAACATGCAAGCTTGCTGTCCTTCTCAAAATTTCTTAAGAATTAAGAAATTTTGATTATGACATTATCAGTTCCCTCCTTTATGGAATTTTATTTCTCCAGCTGTTGCTTTTGTAAATTGACTCGTTTTCTTCTTTTACTGAAGATATACAACTATCAAGGAGGAGTCGTCAATGAAGACTACAATATAGTGAACACACCGGCACCACATGGTAACTTATGATCTATTTCAGACCAGATCACTTTGACTTATTATAGGTTTTCTCCATTTGATGTTGGATCTAATTATTATCTGCATTTCTTTAGACCAAGCAGCTACTCCTGCTATCATCCCTCCAAATGATATTGTAGATGACGATGATGATGAGCCCTTGAATGAAAATGACGATGATGATGATTTGGACGATGTGGACCAGGGAGACGATCTAAACACACAGCATTTAGTTTTGGCTCAGTTTGACAAGGTATTGTTGTTGCCTAAGAGGCATAGACACAGGATACGGTGATTTCAAAAAAATGAAAACATAGACACGTCAAAGACACGAAAATAAAAATATGTTTTTTTTAATGTATTTTTATTGCTATTTAGATTAACATTACGTGCACAAATAATCAAAATTAACAAAAATTTATTCTAATTCATTAAAAAAAAAAAAACCCCACCATATTTAAATAATTAATAGATCATCCATAAAAATGACAAAAGTAATAAACATCCAAAATTAATAAACACCAAACATCCATCATGAAAAAAAAAAAAAAAATAGTTGGCATGACCCTGTAAAACAAATTAATTAACTAAAGGGACACGCTAGTTGGCATGTCTATTGTGTCACAGGCATGTCACGTGTCCCCGACGTGTTTGACATTGCTACGACACTTGCTTTGGAGTGTCCGTGCTTTATAGGTTGTCACTTTTCAAGCATGTAGTGATTTTTCATGTCATATAATCGTATTTATGTCCCTGCTTGACAATAGCCTCATTAGCATAATGCAATTGGGTGGGCAGGTTACGCGAACCAAGAGCAAGTGGAAGTGCACTCTAAAGGATGGCATTATGCACATAAGCAATAAAGACATTCTCTTTAATAAGGTGTGTTCGGAATCCCATCTTCTAGCTTTTGTTATGCCCTCATCATTTTTGGTGAAACAAATGACATTTGTAATATTATCTCACGTTTATTATTGTTATTATTATTTTTTTTTCAGGCCACTGGAGAGTTTGATTTCTGATTTTTTAAGAAAAATCTCATTAGCCAACAAATGGCAGTTGCTGATATAAGAGCAAATATGGAGTTTCAATGAGTGTTTCGTAATTTCTTTAATTATTATTACTACTTCTAAGTGAGAGCTTGCAGGAAGAGAAAGAGATGCATAGTGCTTTGGAGATTGAGGATATTGATGGTTGGCCAGTTGTACATAAAGGGAGAGCCTTTTCGGCCCTAAATGGATGGCTGCTAGAGTTTTTTTTTTTTTTTGGAAAACTTAAATATTTCTATGATGGAATGTGTAATTCCATTACTGTATACTTGTGGAACATTTTGGTTAATTTATAACGAACCGCACTATTGTTTTCATTCCTTTTTTAAATTTGTGGGGTTTGAAGACGATGAATATGCCATTTATCCTGGTCTGAGCAACTTTGATGCCAAGAGTTCATGGTTTTTATTAGTGATGTTGCTAATGTGGTATTTATTGCCGCAAGGGTCATTCCAAAAAATTATGGTTTGTCACCCTCTGACCATAAATTTGTGGAGACAATAAAATGATATCAACTGGTGTGGTTGGGTGAGAGAATGAGTAAATAAAAGTAATCCCATTTTTATTACATTTTCTTTATTTCTTTTCTTCTTGGTGTGGTTGGGTGAGGAGTATATATTGAAGTCTTTTGGTTTTTTTTAGTAGTTGTTTTCCTAAAGAACACTTTTATCAGCCAACCATCCCATTGCTGGATTATGGGTTGATATACTCATTATTATTGAATCAGTTTCAATTTTGTTTGATGGGTTATTGAATGAGTTACATTTTTGTTTGATGGATTGGTTCTATTGAATTGCTTGTAAGGTTTGCAATGCATTCTCTAATTATGACAGAAAGTAGCTTACAGATATTTCCCCCTGGATTTATCTCATCACAGAGAGAGAGAGAGAGCCAAGCACAACTTTCTTGTGGGATTGTCATACTAAGAAAATATACAAAATTGAAGAAAGGAGGACATGGGGACATGGGGAGGTGGAAGATACTCACAGTATAAAGATAAAAACTTCCTACCAACAAACCTATTCCATCACATCGATCACCGAATTAATCACAGAAAAGTCAACGTATGATTCAGATCATTCGACTGTGGTGGAAATCAAGTTTAAAGCGAATTTGTGTCCAACATCAATGTTTTTGTGCACTTTCCTATGCACGTAACTTTTCACGGCCCAAGGTTCACAAGCACGCATTGTGGCTGGAAGAAAGTAAAGAGCGACGAAGGATCCTCAACATTTCCATTTGTTTGTGAGGGTTGTGTTGGCGCACTTGTATCGTAGTTGTTGTTGTCATCGCCTTTTTCACCATCATGGTCATCATTTTCGATGCTTTTTAAGAGTTGCTTCTTGTCTTCTCTCTCGAGCTGCACCGGTAGGGGTGAGAGTATGAGAGGCGATAACAAGGGAATAGCACTCCGAGAGCCATCGTTATTAGATCCCGCATTAATGGCAGTCATTTGATCGAGCTGGAGTGCTGCCGGTGCCTTTTGTTGCAACCTTGTTGGGGGCTTGCCGCCGCTTGACCCTTTATGCTTCGATTTGGCTTCTTCTGCATTCTCATTCTTGTTCTCCATTTCGAACTTTGTAACCCTTAAAAACAAAAAATGAAGATTGAAAGAACATAAGAGGTGTTGTGAGTTTTGTCCAATTTCTCTCTCTATGATCAATCTTGTTCTTGAGAGAGAGAGAGAGAGAGAGAGAGAGAGAAGAGAGGGGAAGGGGGGAAGGATAGGGATGGTGGGTGGTAAATGAGACTTTGTCTTCATTGGGGGAGCGGAAAGCAAGGGGTGCGTTAAGAAGGTGAAAGTTTGGAAAGTCAAAAAAAATAGAAGAAAATCAATTTTGAATGTCAGTTACTTGTAACCGACATTTGCTAAAAATATAATATATAGTTTCCAACAAATTGAATAGCAAACCAAAAATGTTTTCATACAAATGAAATTGTTCAAATACCCAAATGAGATATAAAAGGATTTTTTTAAAAAGATTATGTCACCTATTTTTTTTGTGGCCATTTTGTATTATCTTAATTAGATAAATAGTTATGGTTGATTTCTTGTTTAAAGTAATCATTAAGAAAATAATATTTTTTTTTAATTATTCAAAATTTAGAAAATTCTAATACATAAACTCTTTGTTGTTTGACCCAATGCTAGTTTCTTAAAAAATAACACATAAATCTTCACTTTTATATAGTCCAACCACGTGAGGCCTGACTTGACTTTATTTTGGGCCAAAGAAATAACACATATTGCATCCTTTGCAAATTTGAAGACTTTACTAAGGGTCATTACTGAGGACTTTCATTAAATTGATTATAATATCAGTGCTACTTAATTTCTTTGGACCATTTGATTTTTAATTTTTTTTAAAAAATTTATTACAATTATACTTTGAATTAAAATTATACTAAATTACAACTTTTAATGGAACACCTACCCACTAAATGAAAATAATTAGAATGACGCTCTACAATATTGTATACCTACCTCCATCTCCATCTGTATGTATCTCTTACTAACCTAAATCCTAACCCTATCCTTCTTCATCACCATCCTCAGCTCATGTATTTATCTTCAATGAAAAATATTTGAAATCACCTAATCAATTAATGTTTGTTCAGTGGTTTCAAATGTGTTCGGTGTTCCAAATCAATTAACGTTGCAAACAATCTTATTACAGACTCCGAATTTCTACAATTTGTGGTCGTTTTCACCATTCGTTGATACTTATAGAGCAATGAAAGACGATGTCAACAACTCTGATGCGATTAGCGTTGCATTGATAAGTTTATCTATCTTGCATTTATAATTTTGGGTTGTTTTCAGTTCGGTACTGGTTTGCCAACTATTAAGGTTTTATTTAGTAATACAGTGCTAAACAGAAGCATTTAATTCAGTAATACAGTGTTGAATATAAACATTTTGTTCGGTATTGGAGTGCCGAATAGTTCCATTTTGTAGGATTTTTCTCCTATTTCTGTTTTTCTGAGGGCTTTTTCCTCTAAAAATCCTTGTATCGAGGGTTTTATCCCGAAATAAACAAAACATAATAATATGTGATAGGGAGTTGGAGGTTACCTAAGAGAAGAAGAAAAAGACCGTCGAAGAGATTTCCGAATGAGATACCGTCGTTCATGGTGACAAGGGAAAAGAGACCATAGTTTATGAAAGAAGGAGAAGAGAGGGACAGTCGATTCATTTCTCAATCGTTTGTTGTTCTTAATTATCTCTCAATTGTTCATCGTTTATTGAGAAAAGAATAAAACATGGTGTGCAAAATTAAGTAGGTGTGCACTTGGGTTTGATGATATTATGAATGTAGGTAAAACTAATATTAAGTGGAGTGTTCAAAGAAATCTTATTAAAATTTAAGGTTTAGAGTGGGAGTTTAAAGAAAAGGGAGATTCAAAGAAATTAGTTTGGTGCTAATAGCAGCCCTCTATAATATATCATTAAGAATTTTGGGATTTTCTCAAATTTTGCGTTTAAGTTTATTATTTAAATTACTTAATACATGGGCTAGTCTTGAGATTAAAGTGCCTTGATCATAGGTGTACCTTCGATGGCAACGTGTTAGAAGCGTCAAATCACTTTCAATTAAGGAGGAAATATCATTTTACCCCAAATTATTATGCAATAATTAATTTGGCATTCAAATTTTATCTTATTTTAATTTGATACTTCAATTTTTTAAAATTTGATCAATCATTCACCTCCCAAATATAAAAAAAAAATAAATTTAAATATTTAATAAATAATTTTTTATCTCAATAATGAAAAAATTAAAATTTAAATAAAATACCTTGCAAAAAATAATTAAAAAAACTATAAAATCCTTATTTAGAATTGTCTCTTTAACTATCAAATTATCTAGAATCGATAATTGAGATGAAAATTTCTTAGCTACTCTTATAACTAGTTTATTTCCCATATTAATTTCAATAAAATTAATTGACTAATTTCAAAATTGAATGGGTAAAAATTTAGACCACACTTATTATGAGAGTGACATCTTATTTTGAAATTTGAAAACTTATATTGAATGATAAAAATGAAAGTCGAGATTTGCGTACAAAATCGAGATTATTTACTCAGTCGTATCATCGATTGAATGGCAATTTAATACAGAAGTTAGCAATTATATTAAAGAATACTCAACAGGACTAATACTTAAATTTTTTTATTTAAAATTTAATTTTTTTAATATTTGGAAGGCGGATTTATTTTTAAAGCATAATTTAGGGAGTAAAATAAAATTCTAAATAAAATTCGGTATCACGTCAGCATATTTTGTTAGATTGTAAACGAAAATAGATGATAAGGTATAAATTGATCAAATTTTAAAAAGTTTAAATGTCAAATTAAAATAAGACAAAGTCTAAATGTCAAATTGATTTTCGCGTAATAATTTAGAAGATAAAATGATAATTTTCTCTCAATTGGTTGTGTACAATTGATGTAATTTTTAATAATTTAAAAGTTAATAATAAAAAAATAAAAATTCAAATTACTTATTTCTGTCTTTCTTTCTAATAATATATATGTATATTAAAGAAAATTTGGCCAAAACTCCTTTATGGAGACCTTTTTTTTTTTTTTTTTTTTTTTTTAAAAGGACAAACCACAGCCTGAACCGTGATTGGACATTCTCTGAGGATTTTCACAAACACATTGCATGCACTAGCAATAATCATGTGTTCGACGCTTTCTGGGTCTCGACCTAGAAGACCAATCGCTCTCGCAGCGTTCTCTTGACCCTCAAATTTCCCTTCATTCACCAATCTCAGCAGTGGACCAGCTCCACTATGTCCGCCATTGATGCCGCCGGATTGAATTTAGCTTCCGTTTGGGAAATGGGTTGACTTTTTAACTTTTTAACTTTTTGATTTTTTTGACTATTTGAGTTTGGACTTAAAAGCTTGGTTTGGGAAGGATTTTTTGGCTTTTTGACTTTTTTGACTTTTTTTGTGAGAGAAGAGTGCAATGGTTATGGGTTGAATGTGATGTTTTGTCTGTTGTGGCTCAAATAACCTATTTTGTCTTTTGTGGCTCAAAGAGTCAAAAGAGCACAAATGAGCTCTTCCTAAACGACACATTAATGGCTTTGCTAAAATTAAAATTTTACAGTAAACTTTACTGAATCAGTGTAAAATTTTATTAGTTATGTTAATTTCGACAATAAAAAGTTTACTATTTATTTTATAGTAAACTATCGTTAAGTTTTAATAGTTAGATTTAATTCCTATTAAGTTTTACTAAAATAGTCACTAAAAATAATTTTTTATAACGATTTTTTTGTATATGTTAAAAATTGATAATCAGTAACTTTATTTTGACACAATTTTGATAAATTGTTGCTATAAATTACAATTGTGACATTTTTTTATAACGAATTTTTTCAATTGTGGTGGAA